TCTTGCTCCTTCATTTCCTTGTGGTCTGCCAGTTTGTCCCTTCCCTTTCTTGTGTTCCTTTGCCTGTTTGTTGTTGTTGTTGTACACCCTCTTCCATCTCTGACTTCCCTCCTCTTATTTGTTTTCTTCCTACTTACACTTCCTAATGTTGCTGAAATTAACAGGTGGGCAAGCCTAAAACAAAATGGCTGCTGGATCCAGGTGCAGGAAGTCCCTGATGGCCCCAGGGAAGAAGTAGAACAGTCAGGTGACCCAGGTTACCTTTTATAAGCCTGACTCAGACCTGAGAGAGAGTCTGGCTGTAGGAGCCACAGGAGGAAAGAGTTCCTTATAGAAAATCCAAGGCACTGAACTCCAGGTAGGAAGAAGGAACTCAGAGATGCAGCTGCAGAAAAGAAGACGTAAGATTTTGCAATGAGAACCAGATAAGGTCCAGGACCTTTTCTATCTTTGCAGTTTGGAGAACACTGGTCAAGATAAGGCAGACCCTGGATGGGGCATTTTTTGTTTTGAGCGAAGCAGGAGCCTATGTTTTTTGGTGACTTCATTCAATTTGTACAGTTTGTGGCAGTCAGAGAAGCGGAAACCACTGAGACGGGTGCATGGGAGATGCAGCAAATTTCTAATGGAATTGAGAAGAAAGAATACAGAGACTGATGGATTGGTTCGATCCCAGAAGGGCAAAGCCCGTCAGGAATTGAAAGGTGGGAGCAGGACTTGGATCCATGTGTCCTCAAGCCCGAGGGCATGCCCCACAGAGCCCAATGTTTGTGACCCTGAATAGTGGACTGAGCTAGAGGGCATAACTAGAATAAAAGTAGGATGAGGAAAGGAGGGCCCTAGCCCAGACAAGAGCCAACTCCAAAAGGCCTCATCATGCCTGGGCAGGCTTCCCTGTCAGTTTGTTCCATCAAGACATGGCAGGATATAGTACTAAGGGGGAGAGCCAGAAAGGGTGAGGGGAGGCTAGTGGGAAGAGGCCCCTTTAAAGCTGGGTATGCTGTGCCAATCCTGTGGGCAGCATATAGTTACCCAAAGTACGTTCCATCTTTTATATAAGGAAAAACATATACAAAATGGAGGCCCAGGACACTAATACACTCCTTACAGATATCACCTTAAGAAAGCCTTGCCTCGCCCAGCTATTAACATTTTATCACAGTCAATGCAACGAGAGTTTTCTCCTTCATCCACACAGAGTGAACTTGGTAGCTAATGAGGCCAGCATAGTTCTGAGATCTAACCTTTGCCCTCTCCTTACCAGAACAGGGGGTTTCAGCTAGGAGGTCACCAATCCTTCCTAACACTTGGCAGTGTTGTTTCACTGCTGTTATTCTTCACAGACATGGGGTCTTACTACTGGGGTCACTATTCCTCTTCTTCCAGCTGCTGTCGCAACCCAGATGGAAGAGGAAGAGTTCTAGATAAAGCAAAGGTTTGCGTAAATTTCCATATGTAAATAAAAACATGGTATAAGAGATATTATCAGGTCACTAACAGATAAGAGAAATGTAGTAGAAAGGATGATCTGATAAGTGGAAGAGCAAGACCATTCAAGAGGCTTATTATCCTGTGGAGTGCAGAGATGTTAGTGTGAATCAGGTAGATTACAATGGGTCACTGGTTCTCATTTTCCAGTAAGCTAATGAATTTTTGTTCTAAGGCCCCTCTTTTGAAGGTTTAAATTTCACTTAAGCACAAGGACTGTGTGGGAGTGTTTCTTTTTGGTGGAAAAAAATGTTCTCCAATCTGAGTGCTAGTGTCACAGTGCTTTATTTTGTTTGTTTGTTTGTTTGGGTTGTTTGTTTATTATATGATTATTCACTAAAGTCTCTCAAGTATTCTTCTCAGAGCAGGTGTGGTATCACCTGAGGGCAAGACTGTAGATTATAGCTTTTTTGGTATGTTTTGTATGTTTGTTGGTTTTGTGGAAGTGTAGTGGTCCATGGGCTTTTTCTACATAGTGGTTTGTAGGGTCATCTTGGATATAGACTGTAATATCTAGAGAGTTGATACTAGTATAGGAGAGAATTTGATTGAAGGATGGTAGTTACTGAACCTGTACTGGAAATGACAATTATATGGAAGTAGAACTGGAAGGGACTACCAGAGGTCATCTAGGCCAACTCCCTGCCTAATCTAGGATGATCCCTATTCAAACCATTGCATACAAATCCATTGTCTAACTTTTTAAATCTACAAAGTCAACCCTGACACAACCACAAGACAAAATACTGGCCACCAATGTGCTACAAAGGTTGTTAAAATATGCTTGAGAGATCGAAAGAAGAAAGCCATACCTTCTTCTATAGAGACAAAAAACCCCACAGTCCATACTAATCCGACCTTAGGATAAAATTGCTTCCTGACCTCATGTGGCAATTGGTCTAACTCTGAGTAGACAGGCAGGACCCTCTAGCCAAGAACCTCTGGGTTTAAGTCCCTATGGGAGTATTCATACCCCTCCATCAAAATTCCCAGTTTTGGCTAAAGTTAACACCCAATGCTTCTGAGGAAGGCTTACAAAAACCTGAGATATGTAGTAGCAGAAAGAGAGAAAATTACCTCCCAGCCCCATGGGGCAACAACAAACCCAGTAGCTTGGGAAAATCCATAGTAGAACATCTATATCATCCTTGACCAATGCCTGTCCAAATTCTTCTTGAACACCTCCAATGATGGAGATACCACAACTTCCCTAGGCAATCTATTCTACTGTCTCACTGTCCTAACAGAAGAAGCTTTTCCTGATATCCAATATAAACCTATTTTGCTGCAACTTCAAGTCCCTGCTCTGTGTTCTACTCTTTGCAGTAAGAGAAAAAAGATGTTATTCCCTCTTCTTCATGTCACCTCTTAAGCACTTTTTCTATACACTGAATATATCTATTTCCTCTACTCACCTCATATGACAGGACATCCAGGCCTTTTATCATTTTTGTCTCCCATATCTCAACCCTCTCTAACCACTCCACGTCCTTTTTAATATGTCAATCTGAAAACTGCACATAGTATTCTAGATGAGGCCTAACTAATGCCAAGTAAAGAAACACTATCATCTCCTTATGCTTCTGCTGATTCATCCAAAAACCTCATTCACCTTTTGTACAGCTGCATTATGCTGCAGACTCATATTGAGTCTGTGATTTACCAAGACTCCTAGATCCTTCTTGGTAATGCTGCCATCCAGTCGTGTCACTCATTTTGTATCTGTATTTATGATTATTGTTCTTGAAGTGTAGCATCTTGCATTTATCAGCATTCAACTTCATGTTGTTAGCTTCAGCAAAGCTTTCCAACCTGTTAAGATACTTTTGAATTGCTCTCCTGTTCTCCCAAGTATTTGTAGACCTTCCCAGTTTCATGTCACCTGCAAATCTGCTCCAGCATTCAAATAATTAATAAACAAGTTGAACAGCTCTTGGCCCAGGACAG